GAGAGAGAGAGAGAGAGAGAGAGAGAGAGAGAGAGAGAGAGAGAGAGAGGCCGCATACTTGGTGCGGAATAAATCTTCTGCGAAGGCACGGAAACGCGGAATAAATCTTCTGCGAAGGCAGAAAAAGATTCATTCCCACTTTTCACATATCAGCTCTCTCTCTCTTTCTCTCTCTCTCTCTCTCTCTCTCTCTCTCTCTCTCTCTCTCTCTCTCTTCCTTCTCCGCGCCCGTTGACAAAAAAAGGAACTTTCAGAAACAGACATGGTCCATACTGGGCGGCGATTTTTTTTGTCGTCTGGCATTGCCTGTATTTCTGTTGGAGGAAAGATACTGCTGGGCACCCTTTGAGGGGCGTATTTGTAATTGCCAGAAAGTTCGATGACAGTCCCATAATTTCTTCTTCTTCTTATTTAGAGCACCAGTACATGCCAGCTCTTGGGCGCAAGCCCCTTTCGGAGGCCGCCCGACGCTGATTCATTTTATCTATAGCACTCGGCCTCCTAAATTTTAGGAGAAGGCTCAAAACAGGTTCTCCAGTTGCCTGGGGCCATGTACTGCTGGTTTAATGATGGTTTTGTTCCCTCCTGTCCGTTGATCTGGCAATGGAAGTAGACTTCCTGGCCACAGATCAGGTCCAAGAAAAAGGGTGCATTTTCTTCTTCTTCTTCTTCTTCTTCTTTTTTACCTCAAAAGGAAGTTGCAGTTTATATTACAACTGTAAACCTGAGGCTGTCAATTTCTCAAGATCTCGACCCGGTCGTATCTGGGGCCATTACCCAGCTTAGGCTTGTGCTGGGAACCGGGTCCAGCGTCCCATGACTGCAAACTTCAAGAAGAACTGCAAATGGACTGGAAAGAAAGGGGGGGAAACTACATCTAAGAGTACCACTTACTTCTAGCTTCTCTGCTCTCACTTTACCCATCCCCGGTTCTAGAGCAGAAATGGGTGCCGTTTCCTCATTCATTTGTCCCCCTTCTTTTTTTTTAACATAGTTCCTTGTGGATCACGGATCAGATATCAAACTGATCAGAACAGATGCTACACTTGATCGATCTGAGCCGAAAGGCCGAGAAAGGTACTAGAGCAGAAAAAAAAAGGGTACATTTCCCTATTTCACCTTTCCCCTTGCCTGAGAGAGAAAAACATACAATCAATTTCCATCATGATTTATGGGTGGGTCGTGTTCCATTGTCAAGACATGGCGCTTTGCCAAGCTTTTATGGAGTGATGGCTGAGCCATACGTCCTTTTACCTATGATGATATCCTTCAAAATGCTCAGAATGGAAAGGGTTGTGTATGCTCAGTGAATCTGGCCCGAGTTGCTTTTTGAATTCCGGTCACCTAGGCATGGGATAGAGTGCCGAGGTGCAGAGTTCTATCAATGGTCTACACCCCGTCAGTGCCTGTTTTCATAAATACAGTGGAGGAGAAAAAACATTTTAACCCATGCCTATTTATGAAAACAGGCAATGATGGGGTCTACACCATTGACGAAAGGCATGGTGTACGTCAGTGCCTGTGAGGGTGTGCGTCCTTTTGTGGAGAAGCGTACCATCAATAGTGAATCTTGCCAATGTGATGGGGGTAGATCTGCTCGTCTGTGCGGAAAACATTTTTACGAGGTATACATAGGGCAACGCAAGGATAAGCGGAGAGGGAGTGGTAACGGGGTGTAATGCGACCATACAAGGACGGAACATGCAGCAGAATGGCTGCAACAGAAACGGAAAAGGGTAGATAGGGGTACTACCGGTGAAATGGTGACAAGGATGACAGTGGCCATGTAGGCGGCAGAGATACGAAAACAGCAGGATAAAAGACGGCCTGAGGAACTGCCACAGACTGCCCCCCCCCCTCCTCCCCTCCGGGCCCGGCCTTTCCGGATTTTGACCTTCTGTGTGACTGGGTGCTGCTAGTAAGCCTCCCGGCCTGGAGGCTACCCCCCTAGGAAAGACCAAGGCTTGGGGGGAGGGGTGCTCTGTAGCAGTCCCCCCCTTGCCAGGCGTCTAGAATCACAAGGGTTGGGCTATTTCTCTTTCTTCGTCTCTTCTCCCCCCCACCTCTCTCTGTTGGATGTAAAAAACTTGCTTGTCGGTGATGAGCAACCGGACTGTTGCCCCCCAGAATAATAGAAGGGGCTTCGTTTTTCTTAGAAAGAAAAAAAAAGAAAAGAAGAAGATAGGAAAACAATTTTACATCATGTATTGCATCAGAAGAATCATGTCTGTATCAGAATGAACAATACTTGTTGTGACTTTTGGTGCTTTTCTGCAGATTGAAATGACCATGGAAGCTGCAATTGCAAAGTTCAAGGCTGAGATTCAAAGCTCTCAGGTATGTCTATCACGCGCCCATCGAAGCATGTCTGTTTCATCTTTTATGCCATGCGGCAGAGGATGTTGTTGATTTGTTTGAGATTTCTATTGCTCGTCAGCGTTTCTGTGCTTTTATGACAACTTTCGCATAGCCGTTGGCACTGTGGCAGCTCAGTGTGGCAAGGGGATGACGCAGGGTTAGTACTACCCACTCGGGAAATCTGGCCAAAGGAGCACTCGTCTGGATGGACGTGCAGTGTCACATTTATCGCAGGTGGCATGCTGACAAACTGAGCTTTGATGTTTTCACAACTGCAGTGCTGTTTATTGAAACTTTATCCTTTATTCTTTACGCAACAGGCTGCCATGTATCTCTGGCAGGAGGCAGGGCGCAGGCACCTGTAGATTGACCTTGAAATACCTGCAGACCAAAGACTGTGGGTGCCAGGTAACAGTATGTGCTACTCTCCTCTGCAGTCTTTTCAGGTGCCGAAAATAATAACGAACGAGCACTTCTTGTTCAGTTCTCTTTTCTTTTCCTGTATTTTTATGTGGTAGCTCGTAATGTTATTATACCCAGCCGGGTTCAAACTGTTTCCTCCCCCTCCCCCCCCCCCCCCCCCAAAAAAAAAGGGCCTTATGGTCAGTCCTGGCTCCATATCCATTCTCTGGAGCATCAGTCCGGTTCCTTTTCCACCGGCAAGTCAAGAGAATACAACAGTATACGCACACACGCTTCCTTCCATCTGGCCGAAGGACCCCTGCACAGCATTGATTGCTCCATCTTCATGGAGGATTGACTATCAGCTTGGCTTTATACACAACGTCCTCTCAGCTAGGGTGTACCCTGGCTGTCGGGGCTACTTAAAGCTCTAGACTCTGAGAGAGGCCAAACCCTGACCAAGCTCGCTTGCTCATTGTTGCTGGGCGTTCTTCGTGCTTTCTCCGATATCCCTTGGCCTCGTCTGTCGGTGAATGCCTTGCTGTTGTCATCTTCTGTGGTCTGCCTAGTTGTCCTGCTATACCCAGATTGTAGATGATTCTTCTTGTGTCCGGGAGATATCCCGACCGGTTTCTGTGTCTGAGTTGTGCCAGTCCTTCCACCTCAGGTTAAGTCCATTTAGCCACGGAACTTTACCGTTCGCCAACCAGATCCGCTTGAATTTTGTCAACACTATCTCTTTTGTCTCCAGTCCGCCTCGATCATCCCTTTAGTGGCTTGCCCAAACCTTCTCCCGTGGATTCTTGGTGCCCTCCACCGTTCTGCTGCATCTCCCTTTCCAAATAGCCCAGAGTGTGACCTTGCGTATCATTCCGAACCAAATCCTTTCCGATTTGCTCAGGTTAGAGGGTAGGTTGAAATACAAACGAATAAAAAAATAAAATAGCAGAATCACACAAAGGCACCCCCCTTAGACCCCTTTAGCCCCTTTAAAACCAATTATGCCCCCCTCCCCCCCCCTTGACAGCGAACTCGCAAAAAACGAAATGAGCCCGGATTTGGGGTCGTCTGGGAGAGCGCAGAAAACCAAAAAAAAAGAAAAATCTTTTTTCTTTTTTTTTGGACGCCTGGGCAGGACCGGCCGGGCGTGAGAATCTTCCTAGGTCTCGGGTCCTTTGTTTTATATAACATCTTGTAACCTAGCTTGAAAGTATGCTCAGAAATTGGAGTAGGTTGTTTGCTGGTTCTGTCTCTCTGTGAGAGCCAGGCCCATTCCTGTGGGTGAAATTCTAGGTCCTGAATTGATGTTCCGATTTGAAACATCTGTTTCGGCCAGATTCTCATCACGCTTACTTCGCGAAGTGTGAAGGCCTGCAGCGTTATTGTTTGTAGATCTGTGTTGATAATGGGCGGTTCATCTGGCTTTCTCCACTGGATGGGAAAGGATGTGAAGATAGCCGTTGGCGCCTGCCTTGCTTGTCGACGGGAGAATTGGTATGCCCTTGTCGACGTGTTGTCCTAGATTAGGATTCCATTCCCCCGATTTCCAGGTGAATTCCTCTTTGAGCGGTTCGTCTGGCTTTCTCGCCGCCTCCTTCCTGTTCTCGGACTCTAATCTTCCTCCAATTCTTGCAAAATTGAAGACAACTCCATGTTTCTCATGCAATTCATCCAGTTCATGCACTTTCCCTTCTGGGTATCTCCATACCACCATTTCTTCTTCTTTTCCTTGTGGGTTGGTGTAGGTTTCACTCACTTGAACACCTTCTACCTTCGTGCTCTCGATGATAAATCTCAGTGCGTCGTTGTCGATCACACTGGAGGTCGATTTTGTTGCCTGAGGATTCCGCGTCATTGACGAGGAGTTCTGCATGGTCTGTTTGAAGGATGCCGCTGTGCGGCGATTGCGTGGGGCCTGCATTTTGTGATATGAAAGATCCTTCACTTACTTCCTTTACTTCCCTTCTTCTTCTTCTTTTCTTCGTCTTTTTTTTTGTGTGGAAGAAGCAAGGAGTAGTGTCTTTTTTTTTTTTTTTTGAGTATGTAACCTTCCCTTATTTAAAGTTATTTTTTGTTCTGGATTAGTCGGGTAGGTGGAAGGGGGCTGGTGCAGTATGAGCTCTTGAGATGTAGGAGAATGGGTGGCGAGAGTGGGAGGTGCAGTTAGTGAGGGAGGTGGGGGGGGGGAGAGATGGAGGGATGAGGACGGTGGCAACGGGTAGAGAAGGAACGTAAGAATGTGGGGTGAGGTGAGCTTTGGACGGGGAGTTAGATCAACGTTAGGGGCATTTGCGAAGGATGTCGGTCGAAGGGGGGTGTTGGAGGCTTGACACTACTCTCTTATCCACCAGCTTGGCGTTCGTGATGGATGTGGACGTGCATGAGCTAAACAGTACTGACACTGCGCCTCGTCACCGTTAATCGATTGAAGTTTACCACATTTTTCCTTCTGTGCTTACTTCTGGTACTGAATTCATTCCCCTACGTTTTTGTTTTGGTCCTTTCCACTGCCCCAGCCGTACCCTTCCCCTTTATCCCCAACATCATGCACTTGTACATTGTCTCAATTCCTGCCATTGTCTCCTGTCCACTTGTCTGTCTCTTCGTAAGCTTGCGCTCTTGACTTTGTAGATCACTCTTTCAATGGCGTTCCCTCCCCCYCYCCCCCCCCCCCCCCCCCTCCTCTCTCTCTCTCTCTGTGCATGCATGGAATCTGTTTCTGCAACTTTCTGGTGAGTGTGTGCTTTTATGCATCTTTCTGTTTCTTATACCTGCTGTCTAGTCTTCTTCAATCCGTTCCTGGCACAACTTCTGATGTCGCCTCCATCTTGGAATGTCAGGACCACACAACCGCAACATTGATGCGTGATGGAGAGAAATTGAGGACAGATATTGAAAAACTTCGCAGTGAGTTGAGGTGCAGTATAAAGCCTCTTTGGCATCTGACTCCCAACTCCCTTTCCCGACTCCTATTTCCTCTTTTCTTTCTTTACCATGCATGGGCAGCCGCAATGGATGTCACTTGTTGGAAATGCTTGCTGAAGAAAAACAACAATGAAGAACTAGAGCAAGGGGATAAGGAGGGTGGTATTTTTTGTCGCGACTAACTCATGGAAGGGATGTGCGATGTGCGGATCCAATTGAAAAAATGTGTAATGTACAAAGAAAAGATAATGGTACTATGCATGCGTAGCATTGCGTACCAATGAACCTAGCTCAGTTGGTACGTACACCCATGAACTGTTGAAGTACGGACCTGAGTTCGAATCGCTCGATGAACTAGATGACTGAAATCCAATCATAGAAAGGAAGAAACATGGTATACATGCATCGTGTGGAGGATGCTGACACGCCTGCTTGCACCTCACTTATCTGCAGTCTGCATCTCACCCTGTGGTGTGGGCCGTCATTTGGATGAATCTGGACACTTTAGGAGAAGTTGCCAGTATCCCAATGTCTTTCCATCAATGGACCCGTATACCTTGTTGGCGTGCTTATGTCTCGTGGGCCTGTTTATATCCTGCAGCAGACACTTCTAAAGCACCAGTACCTTTCCGCGCTCAAAATCTACGACGCGCTGGGTAACACGGTAGCCAAGCGGGGGATGGCCGCTGTTGATAAATAGAATCAGCGGCCCACTTTCGTTTCGACCCGCGGACACTGCCTGCGGCCGGCATATGGGAAAGGTACCGGTGGTTTAATTGGGATTCGCAACGGGGTTATTTTTGAAACCTCTGTGCACATAGGAGGCTGGGGGCAATCTGAGAAGAGCTGTTGGATGTTTCCAGCACTGCCTGTAGTTTGCAGTGATAATGTGAATATGCTGGAGCAGTGGGGTTGTGGCCTTGTGCAGATGTGCAGTTCTCTGTATGCAGTTGGGAGATATCAGCTGAGTCCACATGCTGAGCTTGGGATCTGAAATCCTCAACCTGGGATGCCTTAGGTTCCTGGAGCAGCTATGCACAGACAGTTTTCTTTTTCTTGTCCGAGCAGCTGGGCTTCCCGGATAGCCTGTCTGACCATCGAACAAACCTTGTGCAAAAGGGGGGGAGGGGGGAGGGGGGAGGGGGGGGCCTAGCACACCTTAGGCACTGTGAAAACCCAAGGCTTCCTCATCTTCTTCTTCTTCTTTGCATTCCTGTACGGTTCTTCGTCTTCATCTTCTTCTTGTTTGCATACCCAAACTTAACGCTGTGCTCGGCTAGTGTTAAGGTCCTTCTGGGAGATTTCTGTGTGGAAAGCCATTTGCCCGGGCTGAATTTTCAAGTTCTGTGATGCCCTGGCTCGGGTTGAAGCTTGGCCAAGGTTTAAGGTCAGTCAATCGTACTCTCCTCAGCAGGAACCAGTTTATTGTTTATGCTTCCGGGTTTAAGTTAAGGATCTCCTATGTTTTTTTTTTGTTTTAAAGTACCCAGATCCTTGTGGTCCTGGCTCCATGTCGATTCTGGGGAGCATGGGTCCAGTTCCTCTTCCCCCGGCAAGTCAAAGCGTTACATCGACTGAACACCGACGCTTCCTTCTGCTCAGCCGTAGGACCCCTGAGCAGCATTGATTAACGCGATTTCGATGGGGCACTGACTCCCAGCTTGCCTCCTTCTCGAACTCCTCTCAGCTCCAGCATACTGAGAGCTGTCAGATCTGTTGTCAAAACAAGATTCTAGAGGACTATAACGTACTCAACGTTTCCAGATTGTCCTGCGCCCTTGTCAGGCCCAGTCGTTGAGGTCAACAGCATGCCTTTCGCCGATTTCATCCTCTGTTGCTGTTTCTTACAGCCCTGTTATGTCCCGTTGGTCCCATGGATTTTCCTGCGCTTCCGGAGCCTGGGTATTCCACTGTAAGGTACGCCACTCCCACCTTAGATTTGTCCGAGTGCGTGCCACTCCCACCGTAGATTGAGACCCGGAAGGCACGCCACCTTGTCTCTCACAAACGAGACCCTCTTGAATTTACCCAGCGTTTCCTGTTCTGTATCTGGATTGCATTGAATCAGGAATTTGACTTTCATCCATTGACAATGAATCTCTGTGTTGTTCATGCACGTTTTACTAACGAGATTCCCACCGTCCCTATCTACCATCCTGCGAAACCACAACAAATCTCTGCTTCCATCATCCCCTTGGTTGCTGACCTTACCTGGTCACATGGGATCTCCAAGTCTTCTTCTTCTTCTTCTTCTTCTTCTTCTTGTTGTTCTGTTTTTTTTTTTTTTTTTTTTTTTAATTTTTTTAATTTTATTATTTTAAGCAGAACCCGGTGGGTTCTGGCTCTTTTCCATTCTGGGAAGCATCAGTCCGGTTCCTATTCCACCGGCAAGTTGAAATTATTACAATAGTTACACACACACACTCCTCCCCATTATGGTAGAGAGGGCCGAGTGGACAGCATTGACTACTTCCCAAGTGGAGAATTTACCAACCCTCCCTAAGTTAGCTTGCAATTTTTTTTATTATTATTATTATTATTATTTTTTATTTTTTTATTTTTTGCCTATGACTTGCTAGATCTACTGTTGTGGTAGTCTGACATTCAGTATAAAACCATTTTTTTTTTTTTTTT